ACCTTCAGATTATCAGCCCGACACGCTATCCACTTCACCACAAAGGCTCATGACTTAGGCCCGTTTCGTTGCAGTAATGGTTGACGTCACGCCATCGGCACTGAGCGGTGGTGGGGGGTTTTTCGATCTGATCCACGATCCTCCGATCCTCGGACTTGCACTGGCAGTCTAGATGCTTATTTTACTATTTAATATTTACCAACAGCTGACTATTTAGAATAGAGTAATAGAACAAGATTATGACACCACTCTTAGAAAACAACCTGGGAATAAAGATGAAATAGGTTCCTCCGTACAGGTATTTGATCATTTAGTAAGTACTATAACAAGTTCCAATGGACGGAAAAAACAATTTTGTTTGGGGGGATTTTAACCAGGTACAATATTGTTTGTTCCAAGGAAACAAGGTTCTAATACAAAAAAAAAAAAAAAACAAAAAAAAGAACTTAAGGTTCACTTTAGTAAAGGCAGCATCCATATATAATAGTAAAACCTAGGTAGTTTCGGTTTCTTAAAACCAACCAAAAATATGCATGTCAAAGATGCTGCTGAAAAGTAATTTCGTCATTGGTTTCGATTACTGAATAATGGAACCCTAACCAGTCGCAAAATAGTAAGTAATCAGGCATTGATTAAGCCCTTTTTTGATAGAATATGTAAAGTCAATCGCACCTTTAGGAGGAATACCACCGCATAAACTTACACTAGGCTAATAGTAGTTTTTTAAATGTTGATCAGAAACAAATCTAGGGTTAAGTTTAGTCAATTTGATACCTTTACTTTACACTCATTTTGTTAAACCATTACAAAAGAAGCATAAACTTAGAAATAATAACTGGGTCGGGGTGCTAATTTAGCGGATTTGACCAAGAAATAAGGTTATCTCAACACACCTTTTTTCGCCTTTTCATATTTGACGAAGACAATTTCCAATATTTCAATATCATCATTAACTAAAAGACCAAATCTACCTTAGTAAACCAATATTTATTCACAAGCATGTTTGCTGCCTTAAGCAGGGTTAAACCTCTGAGTCATTCAAATTATTTATAGAAAATAACATCAACAAGAGCAAACACAGACAATCAACAAATTGTTTTTCACACAAAAGATATGATGTAGGTACTGGGATATATATCCCGGTGGGGCACACAGGAGGGACTATGGCTAACATATCTTGTAGGGTCAGCGTTCGCCGCTAGAACCACTAAGTTGAAAAAATTTAAATTAATTTTATAATTTTTAATTATAAAATTAACTTTTTAATTATAAAATAATTTTTTAATTATAAAATTAATTTTACATTTTTGAACTATAAAACTTAACTGTCATAACCTAACCTAACCAACTAGTATATTATGCCTACATGGAATCTAGACTCAGATATGGTATTGTTCTTTGGGGAACCAATTCCAAAACGAAAAAACTTCTCAATGCACAGAAATTAGTGGTGAGGACAATGGCAAATGTTTCCAAAAGAAATAGCTGTAGATCATTATTTAAAGAATTTGGAATTTTAACAGTAACAGGTTTATATATATTTGAAATTGTCAAGTTACTCTACAATAATCAGGACAGCTTTGATAAGTTTAAATTTAACCATAACTATTTCACACGTCACTCACACTTATTTCAATATCCACACCATAGACTTTCTCTGTATGAAAATAGTCCAAATTACATGGCAATCAAAGGTTTTAACAAGCTATTAAAAAGCATAAGCAAAAATTCATCAACAAATGTCTTCAAAACCTTACATAAATTATTATTGGAAAAGTCTTACTATAGTATTGAAGAATTTTTCTCTTGATAACATTGAAGGGTAGGTTCTGCCACGGTTTAAGAAAGATTGCTGTAGTAGAATTAAATACAGGACAAAAGCCTATATCCTGTCCTGATACAGACCAGACTGGTATTTAGTCTTGCGGTTTGAGCTTAGTTTTAGGAATTTACAGATAATTTTTTTCTTTTTGTTCAGTATTACTATTATATTTGTAAAGTTTTAATAATTGTAATTAGTTTTATCAAATATAACAGTTGAGTATTAGTTTTATAAATATTGACAAAACTCCTATCTATGTACATTGTACACCAAAAGATGTTATGAGTTAATAAAGAATTTGAATTTGAATTTGAATTTTCTAACAAAAGATGTACAGTTAAGAAGTATTCGCATTCTAAGCAAAATCTTTGACAAAAAGTTAGTGTCCCCGGCTGGTTTCGAACTGGAGACACCAGTCCAAAACGCTATCAAATACGCCACGAATGCCGCTGGAATTGCATCATCTCGTTAGGGTAATCGTGTTGCCTCAAGAGAAGACATTAGCACACCTTTAGCCATAGTCCCTCCCGTATGCCCATCCGATATATATCCTGACACATAGTTATTTGATTCTGAGTTTATATTTTAAAATAATTTGTTTTACATTTGAGCTTTTTAGGGACCTATGTCCCTACAAGCCACTAGTTAACAATTTATTTTCTATGCGAGCAAAACTTATAAGACTGTGTTAGTATGAGTTTTGTAAAACTGTACAGAATAATAAGCATTCTAAGTAGGTAGCTAATCAATGATGTCCTGAAATCTGGGTTTAAAAAGAGTAAGAGTAAAATATATTTTGAATAAAAAAAGTAAGGGAATGTAAGTTGTTTTGAAATAATTGTACAGGATCTTATTTTATGACCCTATCATATTCAGAATTTTAAAACAGTTATTTCGACACTAAGAACCGAGGTATAGAAAACATACAAATTTAAATAATATTTCAATCAGTTTATTACCAAATAACCAATAACATATAAAAATGACATATAGCACCAAACAAATAATGCTTGTGTTACCACAATGGACATGGTTCTTCAAGTCAGAAGTAAATAAATAGTAAAATCTTTGGCAACTCGACAATAAGAGTTATAAAGTATTACATAAATATCAAAGTTTCAGACAAAATTAAATGGATTCTCCAACCCTCCATCCATGAGGCGCATCTTTACTTGTCCCTTCTGTGCTTCATAATGAGATTTACAGAGGTCATGCTGTGTTTGAAGCCAAATGTTCCTCATCCAAGAAATTATGTATCATGCTTTATCACTATTTAAAAAATAAAATAAAATTTAATGTTTATGCACTACTTTGTAGGCTTACTGGAAGTTTTTTATTTTTATTGAACTTTTTAAAATTATAAACTATGAAAAGAGATGCAAAAACCTTTGGGAAATAAAATAGATGGGATGTATCCAATTTCTGAACGAGCTAAAAATGACTTTGCTTTCAAAACAGGCATCTGTAATTCTAATGGAGGGTAGACTATGTCTGATAAAATTCACAATCACAATCAGCATTGAGTAACTTAAACTCACAACCTCACTTGTACGAGGGCTGTTCAGAAAGTAAGGAACGTTTAGTTCTGACACCACTAGGGGCGTTTCCCTCAAGTTTCACGGACATTGTTGTTTGAAATTATCATACATCAAAGCGAAAGCTCCGTTATTGTGAATCGGCGTTTTTCGCCAACCTTTCATCAACTTTAGCGACCAGTTCCATCAGTCACAATGCTCGGGCGCCGCCCTTGGTTTTGTCACGACTCATGGACATCAATTCGGCCATTTTTAAACTGAATGCACCATTTTCGCACAGAACTTTACTTCATTACTGTACGTTGTTTCCGTAAACTTCACAAACTTGGCAATAAATGTCTATTGGTTTTAAGTAATTCGCAAAAAAACCGTATCACTGACCGCACCTCACAACTGACGGGATTTTCAAACGCAGCGCATATTCTAAGTTAAAACTGCGAAAAAATGGGCAAATCAAGGATGTTCCCATTGTCACGGCTGGGCGCCGACTGAGTTGCCGAGTGCACATGCACCAAAATTTACGTGACCCTAGTGGCGTCAGAACGAAACGTTCCTTACTTTCTGAATAGCCCTCGTACTATCACAAACAACTTAATACTCATAATTATATAAATGATTTTGGATTACCTTACAAATTTTACAAAATAGCCTACTCAATATTTTATCACACTTGGTTATTTTTATTGTATCACAATTGAATTCAAAGTAAGGCATATAGATAATAGGCCTATGTTATTTAAATAAGAGTAATATTTCGTGAGTGTTTTATTTTTGATATTAAGTTACTAGGCCTTTACTTAAGGCTTTCTAATATTATTTTATTTGTAAACAGAGATGTAAAAGGTATGCACACTTAAAATGTTTTACCTAAACCTAACCTGTTTAAATGTATTACTTAAACCTGCATTAAAGCTAAACCATACCCTTAACCCTCCGAGTGTTATTTGTCGCTGCAGCGACACATAACACACTTTGTGTAGTGTTTAGTGTCGCTACAGCGACACACAAACACTATTTACGGCGAAGGCTCTATGACTGACTGAATCGGATTGAACTGGATCGAGTTAGGTATTGTTCTTTTCGTTAGATTCTAAGCTTTCTCCAGAGGTCTGTCTCAGCGCTGTATGTTCTCCGAGCCGATCGTAATTGTAGCAGACAGCTGACGTGCGTATTTGTAAACAGCTTGGTTATAACCTCGGACCGATGACTGATGTGTTTTATTACGTTTATCATTGTTTTAGTGTTAAAAATCAAAAGTAGTGATATACTGGTGCATTATAAGAAGATTTAAGTGATTTTGAAGGGCTGGTTGATGATCCTGAAGAAGTAGGTAGTGATATTGATGTAAATTATCAGCCAGATTCCTAGCTATGGTTAGGCTATGCATTCTTAGCTAAACGCTATGTACTGAAATCTGTTTTTTGCCCATAACTTATTTATTTGCAAATCTACTTCCTTATATTATTATATATTTGTAATCCTCATAAAATTTAGAACAAAGTGGCTATTTTCAAATATTTATAGGCCTATAATTTATACAATTTCATTGAGCGCAAACTTAATTTTTTTTTGAAAGTTTTCCAAAATATCTTTTTTTTTACCTAAAAAAATTTTTTTTGAACAAATGTTCCTTATGTTTTATATATAATATTGAAGCCCATGATTTTCCAAACAAAATGGTATATAGAACAGTATAATGAACATTGTTTTTAAGCTTCTCATATCCGTTTTAATAAAACCTTGCAAATGAGCTAAAAATAGGCAGACATTAAGGCCAAAACAAGGGACACTCGGAGGGTTAATGTCAAAATTACCACACTATTATTATTATTGTGTTGTTATTTACCAGGCATTTAAGGTTAGGTTTGCATAGGCTACTCACAATTTGACAATTCTCGATCACTCAGCTACTCATTTTTGAGGATAATCAGATGCCTACTGAAGTTTGAAAATGATTTTTAATGCTTTTATTATCTTGGACTGTTTAAAACCATTTCCAATATGGGTCAAGGATACAAATCAATTACAAGGATAGACAACCAACAATTCTTATGGGCAGTTATAGAAATAAACACAAATTCTAACATTAACAGATACAACTGTAATGAAAAATAAACGGTATCAGCATTCTGACACATACTTTCTCCCATAAGCTTGTCAACAACCTTTATCATGGGTAAGCGGTGGGAGTAACTAAGATAATTTTGTAGGATAGAAAAAAAAATCGAAAAAGTTGCAATAACTTTTAAACCCTAATTGTTACACGAATGGGGGTTGAATTATTTTTTTTAGAATTATAACGACCATAACACATTAATTTTAATCAAAACCGGGTGTATTTACAAAATCCGATTTTTTGTAATTATATGGGATTTTTTTATGGGAAAATAACATAAGTTACAATAAGTTTTGAACCGTAATTTCTACCGAAATGGGATTTGTACTATTTTGTTCAAAAACTAAAGGACTATAACATACTAAATCTTTATCAAAATCGTTCAGGCCATTTTTGAGAAAATCTTATTTCTCTGTTATTTTGTTATTGTTTTTTTTTAAATCCCTATTAAAAATAATAATTTCAAAAAAACGAAAAAGACACCTGGCGATACCATGGATTAGGACCTACATACCAAATTTCATCAAAATCTGACGACAGGTGTGGTCTGTAGCTCTGTACACATCCACACACACACAGACATCACTTCGAAAACCATTCTTTTGGGTCTAGGGGGACCCAAAATGGATATATCCACTCAAAACTCAAACTCAAAAATTTTGCCAAAAACAATAGTTTCTCCATATACTCCAATAGTCAATGATACTAAGGGTAAGAAAGTAAATTGCGTGCTGGACTTCACCTAATTTCAAAACAGCTAGTTAATATATAAAAATAAAACATAGTGTTTGATTGGATTATAAATATTGAAATGTTAGTAAATACACTTAAAGCACACTTCGGAAACAACCCATGGTTAATTCTACTAATATTATAGGTGAGAATATAAAATAAGAAAATAATATATATAAAATACTAAAAACTATATGGGCTATACATATATCGTGATCAAAATAAAATGTATAATAAAACTGAATATGTGAACTGTGTGTTAACTACCAAGAAAGTACTAAGAATGACAGTCCAGTAAGTAAAACATGTGTGTTTTTATACAAAATAGTAAGAAGTCTATAAATTAGTGATATGAGATAATTTTTGATTAGAACTAATGTCACATGTAGGGTAGGTAATGGATTCACATTCAACTTGGATTGACTGAGTTGTATAATGTATAATGTAGCTTATGCTGTAATGTGACGGAGAGTAAACATTCACCCAGTAACTCTTTGAACAATAATATAACACAGTGGCTTTGTGTTTTCATATAAAGTTGATTATGCATGGTTACTGTAAGGTTAATTGAACATCCAAATCATCAAGATCCCAACTAATCCAGAACAATCTGTTCATTGTACACAACTATTGACAATTTCTAACATAATTTGGTTTTTGCTGAAACCATAAATTTCTTTAAGTCTCAGGTGCAACAAGTATTCTTAACACGTTCGCTGCTGACCGCTAGATGCCGGGACGGCGCCAGGAGCTGAACTAACGCTCGCCGCTGCGTAACTTTGCCGCCGATACACTGAATTACAGTAAAAACAATAATAGTTATACTGGAGGGCAATGTTCTGCAATAAAACTGGCTTTGGACATAGTACTAAGTGATTCTGATAGATAGCAGCACTACCTAGGTTGCAGTCGGTAAAGTAGTGTCGCTATCTAGCAGAAAAGAGGTGGGACAAAGCCCTGTTCCATCGACCCTGGTGGTGATTTTGGGAAACTATATTTTTTATTGTCAGAAAAGTACGTCCCCATGAGCTGAAAGGAAATATAAGACGCTCGTGACGAGCTGGCTGATCCATGGAAACGTTAAACAACAATGAACGGTGACGTTCCGGAACGTTCCTAGCTCCTGGCGCCGTAGCAGCGAACGTGTTAAAGTGTTCACAGTCCAGCAGTAGAATAACATCAAAGGTGTTTAACTATACTCTAGTGATGTGTCACAACCAAACCTAAAATCCCAAAACCACCGAAACTTTAAAAAACAAAAACTTTTGACATTATTTTTCTTTTAAAGTCTACTAAGATAGTCACTATAATAATATGACTAATGACTAAATGGTAAAAAATAATATACTTACTTATATTTATACTACTAGGGTATTTAATTTTGGATTTAGTTATAAAATGTATGAGTACTACTACCATAAATAAAACATACTCCCTTAGTAGATTTGTCATCCTTATGGAACAGCTGAAGCCAATTTTATTGTTAGTTCTGTACGTCCAACTGTAGAGGATGTGTTTAGTTTACAATTTGTTTCTTGTTATTTCAGCCATTTAAAACCTCAATTAACCAAATAAAACGATGTAATAATAAACAATAACTGGTCTCCTACATGAAAAACCAATTAGTATAGCACAAATCATGAAAATAACCCTAAAACAAAATTTCGTCTACCCCAGCGATCAATGTGGACGTACATGAACTAGACACAAAAAACAAGCTTCAAAATTTACAATGGGACGAGGAGTCTACTTGTGTTGCTTAGTCTATGCTACTACTTATATGGTAACAGAGGCAGTTCTATAGATATGACAAATATCACTAATTTTTCACTCTCAAAGGATCAAGAAATATTTCTCACGTGCCATGACTACGACACTAGGGTGTAACCAGCCTTATGGTCTACACTGTAATCGTAAAAAAATATGTTCCCGTGGGTCCTTTAAAACATGAATATAGCTTTGACAGTATACAAGAAAATTATTTACTTTCCAAAGCAAACGTGCACAACATCTAAATAAACATAACTGTACATATTAAATGTTGTCTGGATGTATTGTAGCCGTACATATCTTATACTATTGCTTTTCGTTCGCTTGTTGCTAAAATGTTGTTAGTTTTTTGGGAAACAATTTACCCACCTCACTCTGTATACACATATAAATACTTAACAATTTCATATAAATTGTGGTAAATAAATGATGATTTAATGTTTTTTCCACTTTTATTCAATACTCAAGAATTTAAAGTTTAGAGTCCCACTGACTTAAAAAAATTCCAAACTAAGTCTGCCATGTATATTTTCAAAATACTCTACTTAAGAAATATATTAAATTATAAAATCCGATAAATGTTTGACGAATGAACACCTTCAATCAATTCTATTAACTAAGCCTTAAGCTACATTGTATACAGTAAAAAGCATTAGGCTGCATACAATGTCAGTGGTAAAATAATTACTATGAGTACTTATAATAACTAATATCATTTTTGCTGGCCAAGAAAGTCTTCTCAGGAGATAATGGAGTACCTGAAAAATATAAATTTATTAAAATTCAATAATTGTCAAAAGTTAATGGTATTATAGCATTTTGTTAATTTAGTCAAGTAATGTCCAAATCATTGACAGGCTATGAGATTTTTTTCTTGTTATAGTTTTGTCAGTAAATTCCAGTAGTGACTGTTTTTGGAACACCACAGCTTGTTCTTTTTACTTTTTGAAATGGTGATAATTTATGAGACTATTATAGTAATCTAGAGGTTAAATACCTTGTTGCCAACGTAATCCTTGGTAGACTTAATGGCTACCGGTTTCGACACACTTATGGTGTCATTGTCAAGCCTAGACGTGGTTTTTCGCTACTAGGAGGTCGTCATAAAGTCTTCAAAAACACATAACGAGACGAACAAATAACAAAAACGAACACGAACACACATTTTAACGAATAAAGTATGGCCATACAACTCACGGCGCGGCTGCGGGTTCAGGGTGTAGGTCTAGACTGACCGTCGCCGTGTCCTTCCCCTCCCCTCCTATCCTTTGTTGTTATCAGTGCCATTGTCTTCCGATAAGTTTTGTATGAATGAGGCTGCTTCGTAAATAATATTTGACTCAAACGATATTTTTTCATTGAGGATGTGTTGGGGATGTTTCTTGCCAGCCTTGAATATCTCATATTCTTCGATTGTATCCAGGAAACGACCTCTTTTTCTATAAAAATGTAATACATTGATGGATTTGTCAATAGATGAGACATCGTGGTTATTACTTATCAGATGATCAGCAAATGCAGAATTGGGTTTGTGGATGGATGGTTTTGGCAGGTGTTCCTTATATCTAGTTTGAATGAGCGGGTGGTTTGTCTAATATAAAAACTAGAGCAGCTGTCGCAATTAAGTTTGTAAACACCAGATCCTTCCGATTTATCAGTAGTAGATTTATTCCTATTGTTTCTTAATGCAGATGAGAGTCTATTGTTAGTACTGAACGATACTACAACATTGTTCTTTGACATTTCTTTCTTCAACGTGCTGTTAAAGTACGTGCCAAACTCAGTAGATATGTATATTGGTTTGTTTGTTCTCTTGTTGGTGTGGATATTTTTATTTTTGTGTTTCTTAATGAGTTTGTCAATAATATTACTATTGTATCCATTGGACACCGCAATGTATTTTAGCGTGTTTACCTCTTCCTTGTAATCTTCTTCGGACAATGGAATTGATAATAATCTATTGACAAAACTTGTTCGTCTCGTTATGTGTTTTTGAAGACTTTATGACGACCTCCTAGGAGCGAAAAACCACGTCTAGGCCGTCTAGGTCTAAACCGGTAGCCATTAAGTCTACCAAGGATTACGTTGGCAACAAGGTATTTAACCTCTAGATTAGTATTTGTTAAGTAATCCGGAAGGCAACACCTCAAAAATGACTATTATAGGTACATACGTCAACAGTTCAACAAGAGGTGTTCAATTACCATTCAATTAGAGTACATTTAGAGGCGGTTTGGGAGCTCGAGCCCTGCTAGTACGCGCCCAGCATTAGACGCGCCTAACTTTCACATGGAATATGTCATTGATAAAGAAATTGATAAATATTGATGAAACAATTTGAATTTAGATTCTATAACCGTCGCCGTATCAACCTCGGCTTTTATCCTCAATTTTATGAGAATTATATTTATATATATTTCTTTGGAAACAGTTATAAAATACCCCAGCCGCAGCAAACCTGCAGACTAAGCGAATTTCCATTTGCATGATTATATTTTCACCTGAACCGAATATTGTCTCTTTTGCATACTGACTCCGTTGCAAGGCACGGGTATAGCGGCTAGTTTTAATGAAACAGATTTGTAAGCAATAACATCATTTTCACTTTACTTTTTATAATCTATATATATAATACGCTAAGCCACACGCTAAGAACAGAACTCCTCCCTCATTTTTGGACCGATTTTAACGATTAAAGTGTAAAAAAATGGCCCTAATCTGTAGTTTTGCAAAGTGTTTTTACATTTTTGAAATCTTTATTAGTTTTGTCTTGGTCTTGGTCTATTATAGATGAGTTATCAAAAGGAAAACAAAGTAAATTCCCTTTGGGTTCTGCCTTAAAGATCCCTCCACAGATTTGTTTACATTTTGGCCATGTGGATAATACTTTTTATAGCTACAGAGTACAATGGCGGTTCATCTATCGACCTAAAAGATAAGACATACCTGGTTGACAGATATGACATAACTGTAATGTCCTGGGCGATCAAGGCAAGAGCTGAGCTTATCAACCTCAACTTCAAACCGTGGCTTGTAGACAATTATCATTTGTGCACTCTTTGTAATTTACAAGAGAAAGAAGATGTTTTTCACTTCATATCTGTTTGTCCCATTTTAAATTCAATATGGAAATTTTATTTTAGCAGTCCAATTTTGACACAGGAACAATATATAGAGATTTCGAATCGGTGGGGGTTAATCCAAGAATTAAATCTGTGAAAATCATTTCCCCAAATTTCATTACTTTTAAAATGTTTTTTATAATTATTTAATAGTTTCATTAAGGCATCAAAATTGCATTAGTTCTAAGTTAGAAATGTATTATTTATATACCAAGAATTGTTGCAATCTATATATATTAATTTGATCAAGTATTGCTAAATATTGCTAGAATTTAGGTTATTGTTCTATTTCTAAAAAAGGAAAGTTTAATTATATTTTCATTATTATTCTTTTTTAATTTATGCAAATATATATGTATATAAATCCGTTTTAGAAATACTGTATGTCTATTGCCAAAAAATGTATTGTTTTATTATTTTAATCTGATTAATGAGAACAGTTTACGTTAGTCAATTGTTGTACAAGTGCTAACCAGGTACGCCAACCTTAAGACAGGCTTTTTGTCCATTGTTGTATTAGTGCTAAAAAAGTTATTGTTGTACATTTATTTGTAAATAAAAGCACTTTTTCATTCATTCACTCATTCATCTATCGTAAAAAGAAAGATTTTTTTGTGAAAGAATGGCGGATGGAGATGAAGTTCTGGTTTGTGCGGTATGTAAAATTGTCTGTTTAGAAAGTGAAAAACCACTGCTATGTGAGGGTTTTTGTGGATCGTGGTTCCATTTAAAATGTTTGGACATACCCATGAAGAAATTAAATGAAGTACGAAAAGTTCAAGACGTAATTCGTTGGTTTTGTGCTCAGTGCGACTCAAAGGTAATGAGCCATATTAACGTAACTAAAAACCGCTCAAACGATATAATTGAAGCTAACTTAAATGATAGTGCAATCTCTACCTTAGGAAAAACCTTGGAAAAGAAGCTAAATATTTTAATTAATCAAAGTATAAAGGCAAACAGTAGCTTAAAACAAATATTGAATTCCCATAAAGTTGAGGTTAACTCCGAACATAATTTGGAGCTCGAAAATGTGAATCTAGTAGTAGATGAAGATTGTCGTCTGCAAACATCGTGGACGGATCCTCATCCAAAGTCTACTGAATCTAATGTCGATAATGAGTCCATTTCATCGAAAGACTCACTAGATGGAACGACTTCACATTTAAAAGCCGTTGCCAGTCCTACTAAACTCGACTGTCGTACTCTTTGTAGTGGCGAAACTGATCTCATCGGCAGTGACTCCACTATTTCTAACTTGTCATCTGCATCTGTCAACATAACCGCCGTAGTAAACTCTGATCTGAATGGTGAAGTTATAAAAACTAAAACTTTTAATAACTCAAAATGGACTCAAGTCAGGAAAAGTTCTAGGCTAGCAAAGAAAAACCCGATAAATGTGACGAAAGTGGTAAACAGTGATAAGCAGAATTTATCATCATTTTAGTGTTTTAGTAAAACTAAAACACCGGACTCTGCTACTGTAGGCAGTCATAGGCCTCCGGGGGTGAGTACTACTAACCCGTCCTATAGTGATGTTCTTAAAAGTAATCCTACTAGGATGACAAATATCAGTAAAGTTATTCGTGGGACAAACAAGGTAAGTCCTGGAAACACCCTAAAGACTGCTAAAAGATGTTTTTGGCTGTTTGTATCTGGTCTTGACCCTTCTGTAACTGAGCAAAATATTGTTGACTTCTTGAAAGACTTTAAAGACTGTGACTATCAGTGTAATCAATTACCCTCCAGGTTTGCACATTACAAATCTTTTAAAATAGGTGTACCATTTGAAATGTGTGACGAATTTCTCAACCCTGAACTCTGGCCTGAAGGCTCTGTGGTTGGCAAGTATCGTCCTCCTAGGGCTCATCGCTCAGGCAATGTAGGTTTTCGTAAGAATGATGAAAGTTTTTTAGGAAGAGCTCAAGACACAGTGTAAGCCAAGTTGAACTCTTTGACACTCCAGTTATCCAAGCAGATAACCCTGAATTACAAAAAGACAGTTTGTTGACAATTGTGTCCATCAATGCTCAATCAATTCGGAATAAACTTGGACTTATAGAAACAATGCTTATTGATAAACCTGCTGACGTTGTCTGCATCTGCGAACACTGGCTATTTGATGAAGAGCTCCCATTCTACACTCCCGAGAACTTCGTACTTGGCGGCAAATACTGCAGGCTTCCTCCGCTGACTCACGGCGGTTCCGCAGTGTTTATTAAAGTTAATATAAATTTTGAGTCTATCAATATCACTGATTTATGCTCTAATAGTATCTTTGAGGCCTCTGCAGTTAATCTTTGTGATTTTAATTTTATAATTGTAAATGTTTACCGTACACCTGATTCTAATTTTTATGATTTTGTAAATAGCCTAGAATGTTTATTATTAATGATAAGTAAGTCAAAGTATGCCAACATAGCTATAGTAGGAGATTTCAATGTTAATATATTAAGTTTAAGTCAAGAAACTAATCATTTTTTAAATATTATGAGATCTTTTGACCTATATCCAGCCCACAACCAACCAACCAGAAACTCATCTTGTCTTGACAATGTTTTTACTAATATTCACAATGATTTTTTGTCCTGTTCTTTCACTGCTCAAGACATTATCTCAGATCATGCTGCTGTTTG